ATATCGAGTTATAAATTTAGCATGTAAAGTTCAGAAAATGTCAGAGAATGTAATGCTGTAAATTGTGAATCTTTGCAATTTTCGGTTTCGACGATAACATATATATACACATATGCATACATATGTTTGCATGTAAGAATACTTGTTTAACTGTCCGGAGTGGTGTAGTAACCGTCCTGTATTCAAACGAATTCGGACGAAAAGAAACGCAAAGGGATAAAATTGGATAAAATTACCGAGATAAGATTAGTGGACCGTGCAGTTATTCGGGTCGCGAAAAGGTACAAGAAAAAATTGGGAGGAAGGGAAGAAAAAAGAAAAAGAAGAAAAATAAAAAAAGGAGAGCGTCACGAAGAGGTGGACGAAGGGACCGGGGGTTAGAAGAAGGAGGCGTGGTGGGAGAAGCAGGGAAGGGGGGTAGAAAAAGGGTATTCGACGACTGAGGAACTTCCCGTTCTTTGTGCACTCATATACGCTCCTCCACTACTCTTAGGCGATTAAAAGTAAATCGTTCGTCCGCGCTTTTGCCGGTTTTCTTTTTCCGGCCTTTTGTTTTGGCCATTGGGTATATGGTCGGTAGGTCGGTCGGTAGGGCGAGAAGGGTGAGAAGGGTGATACGAGAAGAACGGAAAGCCGAGAAGGAACGTGGATGTCGAATGGCACGAAAGGTGGAAGACGAGAATGAGGTTGGTAGATGAGAATGAAGAGGACGAAGTAAAGAAGAGGGAGAGAGAGGGGGAGAAAAAATAGGGGGAGAGACATTTTTGTCTATACGAAGCGTAAGGTAGAAAGATTATAAGTGTCGCCTTCCATTTGCTACTCTTTTCTTTTTTGTTCTTTTTTCTTTTCTTTCCTTTTTATCCAAAGAGTTTTTTATGCTTGACTCGAGAGACCCGGACCGAAGTAAAATATCCATAACAAAGTCTTCCTCCTGCTTCTCTCTCTCTCCTACCCTTTCCACCACCCTTCACCCCCATTTTTTCTCTTTCTTCCAATGTCTTTTTCTTGCCCCGTTATCTTTTTTTCCCATGAGAAAGAGAGAGAGAGAGAGAGAGAGAAGTAGTTAAATAAATCGCTTGTAAAAAAGGCGTAGTTTGCTTTAAATTGGACCTCGCTAAAATTAAGATAAAGCTTCAGAGCTACGACAGACAAGAACGCTACTTCTGCTGGGGTATAATTACTCTTGTTTATTGCTCACTTTTTTCTCCTTTTTTCTCTTTCTTCTTCTTCTTCTTCTTCTTATTCTACATTTATTTCATTTTCAATCTTTTGTAAAACTTGTTGATTATCGTATCGTCGTTTGGGGGATGGTGAAAAATGGTTATTTCAATTCAATATACGATTTCAACGTTAGATCGTTAGAATTTCTTATCAAATATAATTTAAACAGAACGTGTTAAACAATAGTTTTCATTTGTTTAACGTTCACGAAATATTTTGTATATTTTATATAACATATTTTCTTGAACCTTTAATTCTTATCATTGTTATAAATCACAATATAAAACAAGTAGAGAGAGAGAGAAGAAAAAACCCTGAGAAGAAAATCATCGAATAAAAAAGGCGTAGAGACGAAAAAAAAGAAGAAGAAGAAGAAGAAGAAAAAAAAACGGGGAAAAGGGAAGGAGGAGAAGGTTTAGGTTCAGGAGAAAAGTCGGCGACCGCGAAAGCTTTAAGCTTTTATGAGCTCGAGTTCTCTCCTCGCTTTCCCTCTGTTTTTGTGTTTACGCGCAATAAGAATCACGTGGTAGGATAGTGTGTTCTACGAGAGAGGGAAAGAGAGTGAGAGAGAGGGTGGGAGGGAGGGAGGGAAGGAAGGAAGGTCGAAAGTAGTAAAGGGACTGTGTGTTGAAGGGCGTAATGAGAGAAAGAAAGAAAGGTAGAAGAGAGAGTAGGAGGGTGTGTGTATGAGAGAGAGAGAGAGAGGGTGAAATGGACGGGGTATCTCAGGCGTATCTCGGACGGTAAATACGAGGGTTATCTAGCTTTTTCTTCTTTTCCCCCATTCACCCCATCTTTCCTCCTTCTCTTTCTCTCTCTATCTTTCTTTTTTTTTGCACCCTCGTCGTAAGCCAAGCGAGTTACCTATGGTAGTAGTAGTGGTAGACAACGATGCTCTCTAGTGTTGTCGATGTAAAGGCGAACTTTACAGGAGGTACTGATAGAAAGCTAAGTGCATTTGGCTAGCTTCCAGCCGAAGGACGATCGTGCTTGTCTTTTCTGGACGTGAAATCACCTCTCTCACTATCTCTCTCACTCACTCACTCACTCACTCACTCACCCTCGTTTTATCCTATAGAATCTCTCTTTCTTTCTTTCTCTTGTTAGAACGCTACCGCCGCCATCGTCGTAGACTCTTACCCAGGGTGCAATCACCCTCGAATCCTTTCCCATTCCTTTCCCCTCGACATCCTTCACCCCCAAAATTCGTATATTCCGAAGCGAAGATCGAGAGCATTCTTTCGTTCAAGGACGTCGAGGGACAAGCGAGGCTTTTCTTCTTATTTCTTTCTTTTTCCCTTTTTTTTTTCTTTTTTATTTTCTTTCCCTTCTTCTTCTTTTTTTTTTCTTTTCTTTTCTTGCGAGATCAATGTCGTGCCTGTCGTAAAATCTTGATGGACTTCGAAGCCGACGGATATTCGATTTACGGTTATCGGTGTGCTCGATAACGAATTAAATGCCCGGGTTGTTTGATCGGAACAGTCAGATATATAAGTCTTTATTTTTCTTCTTTATATGGGTATATTTCTTTTCTTTTTTT